TGCAGGATGCTTTAGACAAGGTGAAGGTGATTCAGGAGAGGCTTCGTACAGTGCAGTCGAGACAAAAGAATTATGCTGACAGGAAGGTTCGGGATGTGTCCTATATGGTTGGTGAGAAGGTTCTGTTGAAGGCTTCACCCATGAAGGGTGTTATGAGATTTGGGAAGAAAGGTAAATTGAGTCCTCGGTTCATTGGGCCTTTTGAGGTACTTCGGAGGATTGAGGAGGTGGCTTATGAGCTTGCTTTGCCACCCAGTTTGTCGGGTGTGCATCCGGTATTTCATGTTTCTATGCTTCGGAAGTATATTGGCGATCCGTCACATGTATTGGATTTCAGCACGGTTCAGTTAGATGATGATTTGACTTATAATGTGGAGCCAGTAGCTATTTTAGGGCGTCAGGTTCGAAAGTTGAGGTTAAAGGATATAGCTTCAGTGAAGGTGCAGTGTAGAGGTCGCCCCGTGGAGGAGGCTACCTGGGAGACCGAGCGGGAGATGCGGAGCATATATCCTCACTTATTTGAGGCTTCAGGTATGTTTCTTGAACCGTTCGAGGATGAACGTTTGTTTAAGAGGGCGAGGATGTAACGACCCGGCTGGTCATTTCATGTGTTACCGCTTGGTTTCCCGCATTCCTGCTTCTGATTGTCTTGTTTAGCTGTATTATATGCTATCGGGTTGGTTGGCTAGGGTTCGGAGAGGTTTTGGTAAGGTTTGATACACTTAGTCTCTTTTGAGTAAGCTTAAGTTGGAAAAGTCAACTGGATGTTGACTTATGTGAAAAAGGGCTCAGATGTGAATTCCGATGGTTCGAGTAGCTTCGGGAGGTGATTTGGGACTTAGGAGTGTGATTGGAATGTGTTTTGGAGGTCCAGAGTAGCTTTAGGCTTGAATTGGCGAAGATGGATTTTTGGCGTTTTCCGTTTGATAGGTAAGATTTTGATATAGGGGTCGGAATAAAATTCCGGGAGTTGCAATAGGTCCGTTGTGTCATTTGGGATGTATGTGCAAAATTTCAAGTCATTCGGACGTGGTTTGATAGACTTTTTGATCAAAAGCGTAATTTAGGAGATTTTGGAACCTTAGGCTTGAATCCGATGTGATTTGGTTGATTCGATGTTGTTTGAGGTGTTATGAAGATTGGTATAAGTTTGGATATTGGTATATAACTTGTTCGTGCTTTTGGTTGAGGTCTCGGGGGCCTCGGGATGATTTCGGATGGTTGGCGGGAGGTTTTGGAGTTGAGTTTGGCTGCTGAAGTTTTATGGTTGCTGTCATATCCGCATCTGCGGTTGGGAGGCTGCAGGTGCGACTCCCGCAGATACGGAAGCAAGCCGCAGAAGCGGCCTAGTGGTGAGCCAGGCGGAGCCGCAGAAGCGGACATTTGGACGTATCTGCGATGGCGCAGGTGCGAGAGAGTGACCGCAGGTGCGTCCCAGACCTTTAAGTGAAAACCGCAGGTGCGGTGGGTTAGACCGCAGAAGCGGGGCCACAGAAGCGGAAAAAGGACCGCAGGTGCAGAATCCCTGGGTCAGAAAGTATATATTTCATCCTTCACGATTTTCAGACTTTCTTCACCATTTTAAATCGATTTTGGAGCTTTTGGGGCGATTTTGAAGAGGGAATTCAAGGGAACTTCATTGAGGTAAGATTTTTGAACATAAAACTCGTTCCTATGGTGTTATGTCATTGATTAGGCTTGAAATTTATGGAAAATTGTGGGTAAATATTGAAGAAACTAGGCTTGAAATTGGAGACCTAGAAATTGGGATTTGAGGGGTCATTTGTGGTTGGATTTTGGTAAATTTGATATGCATGAACTCGCATGGGTTTCGTTCCCTTAGCATATTTTGACGTAATGATTCTGATTTTGGATAGATTCGACGCGTGTTGAGGTCGATTCGAGAGGCAAAGGCATCGCGGGCTAGAGTTTGGACCGGATAGAGGTAAGTAATGATTGTAAATGCTGTCCTGAGGGTATGAAACCCCGGATATCACATCGTTGTGCTACTTTGAGGTGACGCACATGCTAGATGACAAGCGTGGGGTCGTGCACCGTTAGGGATTGTGACTTAGTCCGTCCCGTATGACTGTTTAACTGCGTATTTGATCGAAAACTATTTGCTATCATCATGTTTGGGCGGAATGCCATATTTGGGCCTCTTGCTAACTGTTTGGACCCTTAAGGGATTTTACTACTATTTCCTCACAGTTTTGGCTTCGAAATTGTATTTAGTAATGCTATATTCTACTGTTTGCACAACTCAGCCATCTTTACTCGTTTTGATATTTTAAATGATATTTTGGGCTGAGCATCATGTTTTACTGCTGCCTGTGAGGCTTGTGAGATTCTGACTGAGTAAGGCCGAGGGCCTGTGTTGTGAGGATACTATGGGATCGGGCTGCGTGCCGCAGCATGTGGTACTTATTTGTGACATATGAGAGGCCGAGGGCCTGATTTATTATGCCACGAGGTGGCTTGTGATTGATATGAGGCCGAGAGCCTGTTGATTATGCCACGAGATGGCTTGTTATTGCGCTTGGGCCGTAAGGTGCCCCTCCTAGAGTCTGTACACCCCCAGTAAGTGCGGGTACCCAGTTTATGATGTGATATAGCCCGAGGGGCTGATATTGTTCCATGTTATTTCCCGAGGGGATGATACGAGTGATTGTGAGATAACCCGAGGGGCTGGTTTCTGTTGGTATTTGCCCGAGGGGCTGATTTGTGTTTCTATCTTTTATCCATGTTTTCATTCATTCATTTGAATTGCTAAAATATGTTTTTACGAGTTTTTATTGATTTATGGTATTGTTCTGGTTTTACACTGCCTCGTTGTAGCATTTTGTTGTGTATTTATGTGTTTTCTTATCGCTCAGCTGCCTTTACTTTTATTACGTACTGAGTTGGCGTACTCACATTACTCCCTGCACCCTGTGTGCAGATTTAGGAGTCTCGGGTCACGCTAGCGAGGGCTGATTGCTTTCCAACAGGCTGTACGGAGTTGACTAGGTAGCTGCTCGGCGTTCGCAGCCTAGTGCTTCTCCTTCCTATTTTTATGTCACTTGTTCTAGATTTGTATCAGACTATGTTGTCTTTTCATACTCTTAGACGGATTTTAGATGCTCATGACTGGTGACATCCCGATGTCGGTCTGTGTTTGTTCCGCACTTGTTCTATCTCACTCTATTTTGGGATTTATCACTTATTAATGGCTTGATTATGAATTATTATAACTGTTAATTGGTTTTGGGGGTTGTGTCGGCTGGCCTTGTTTCACGAGAGGCGCCATCACAACCGGTTCCGGTTTGGGGTCGTGACATGAAGACTCAAATAAATGAGGGTATCTGGACTTCATGTCCTCTTCGGCCTCCCATGTCATTTCCTCTACATTATTGTTCCTCCAAAGTACTTCTACTGAGGCTACCTCTTTAGTCCGTAGCTTACGTATTTGACGGTCAAGAATGGCAACAGGTATTTCTTTATATGACAAGTCCTCGGTAACTTGAATATCCTCAATAGGACTGATGCAAGAAGGATCACCTAAGAATTTGCGAAGTATGGAAACGTGAAATACCGGATGGATTGCGTCTAATTCTGGTGGCAAGTCAAGTTTGTAGGCTACCCGCCCAATTCTCTGAACAATCTGATATGGCCCGACATATCTAGGGCTGAGTTTTCTCTTCTTGCCAAATCTCATTACACCCTTCATAGGCGACACTTTCAAGAATACCCAGTCTCCCACAGCAAATTCCAAGTCTCGACGTCGGTTATCCGAATATAATTTCTGTCGACTTTGAGCTGTATGCAACCTTTCGTGGATCAACTTTACCTTTTCTACGGCTTGTTGTGCCAATTCGGGTCCTAGCAACTTTGTCTCGCCAACATCAAACCAGCCAATAGGAGATCTAAATTTCCTCCCATATAGTGCCTCATAGGGTGCCATCTGAATACCGGCGTGATAACTGTTGTTGTAGGCAAACTCAATAAGCGGTAAATGATCTTCCCAACTTCCCTTGAAGTCTAAGATACAAGCTCGCAACATATCTTCGAGCGTCTGAATTGTGCGTTCGGCTTGTCCATCGGTCTGCGGATGAAATATTGTACTAAGGTTAACAAGAGTACCCCAAACCTTCTTAAAAAGACCTCCAGAAATTAGCTGTAACTTGGGCACCTCTGTCAGATATAATAGAAAGTGGAACTCCATGTAGCCGACTATTTCCTTGATATACAGTCTCGCATAGTCTTCAGCTAAATAGGTGGTCCTAACTGGGAGAAAGTGAGCTGATTTTATCAGCCTATCCACAATGACCCAAATAGAATCGAACTTCCGGCGAGAATTGGGCAATCCTGTAATGAAATCCATATTAATCGATTCCCATTTCCAAGCTAGAATCTCAATATTTTGAAGTAGCCCTCCAGGTTTCTGGTGTTCAGCTTTAACCTGCTGGCAGTTGGGACACTGAGCCACAAATGTGGATATATCTTTCTTCATGCCATTCCACCAGTATAGCTGACGAAGATCATGATACATTTTGGTTGAACCAGGATGAACTGAGTACCGAGACTGGTGCATCTCTGTCATAATTTGCTTACGAAGCTACCCAACATTAGGTACACACCATCGGCCCTTATATTTTAAAATTCCATCATCAGATTGCTCGAACAACTGCTTCTTCTAAAAAGGGATGTTGTCTTTAATCTTGACTAACTCCGGATCCTCAAATTGACACATTTCTACCTCAGCTACCAGTGATGACCCCGCAATATTTTGGACTACTACACCCTAGTCACCTGTATCATGTAGCCGCACACTCAGGTTAGCCAATCGATATAGTTCCTTAGTCATTTCTAATTTCCCAACTTCTACATGCTTCAAGCTGCCCATGGATTTACGACTCAACGCATCAGCTACCACATTCGTTGCCCGGATGGTACAAAATATCCACATCATAGTCCTTCAGCAATTCAAGCCACCTCCTTTGTCTCAAGTTCAACTCCTTCTACTTAAATATATATTGTAAACTTTTGTGATCTGTATAGATATCCACATGAACACCATAAAGATAATGACGCCATATTTTCAAGGCAAATATAACGGCTGCTAACTCAATATCATGAGTCGGATAATTGTGTTCGTGCTTCCGCAACTGCCTCGAAGCATATGCAATAACTTTTCCATGCTGCATTAGAACACATCCCAATCCAATCCTAGATGCATCACAATATACCACATAACCTTCAGATCCCTCAGGAAGTGCTAGAACAGGTGTTGATGTTAAGCGTTTCTTCAACTCATGAAATCCCCTTTCATAGGCATCAGACCATTGGAACTTAACGGCTTTGTGTGTCAATTTTGTCATGGGAGTAGCAATAGAAGAGAAGTTCTCCACAAATCTTCGATAATAACCAGCTAAGCCCAAGAAACTACGAACTTCCGTAGGAGTTGTGGGTCTAGGCCAATTTTGTACTACTTCAATTTTCTGACCATCTACCTTAATACCTTCATCAGAAACGATGTGCCCAAGGAAAGACACTGAATTCAACCAGAACTCACATTTAATGAATTTAGCATATAATTTCCGATTTTTCAAAGTCTGAAACACCACACGCAAATGATCCTCATGTTCTGCTTCTGATCGAGAATGAATCAGAATATCACCAATGAAAACAATTACAAAGATATATAGATATGGCTTGAAAACCCGATTGTTAAATCCATAAAAGTTGCTGCCGCATTAGTAAGACCAAAAGACATCACAAGGAATTCATAATGGCCATATCTAGTCCGGAAAGTCATTTTCGGAATATCTCTCTCCTTAACTCGCAACTGGTGATAGCCGGATCGAAGGTCAATCTTTGAGAAATACTTGGCACCTTGCAACTGATCAAACAAATCATCAATTCTGGGTAAGGGGTACTTGTTCTTGATAGTCACTTTGTTGAGCTGATGATAGTCGATAAACGAACCGTCCTTCTTACGAACAAACAATACCGGTGCACCCCAGGGAGAAGTACTGGGCCTGATAAAGCCCTTATCCAGAAGATCCTTTAACTGAGCTTTCAATTATTTTAACTCAGCAGGAGCCATTCTGTATGGAGGAATAGATATTGGCTAAGTATCTGGAAACACATCAATGGCAAAGTCGATTTCTCTTTCGGGAGGAAGACTAGGAAGTTCATCAGGAAATACATCGGGAAATTCATTCACGACGGGAACCAATTGAAGGGTTAGAGATTTCACCTCCATATCATGCACTCGTACCAAATGATAGATGTACCCCTTCAAAATCATCCTTCGAGCTTTAAGGTAAGAAATAAACTTCCCCTTAGGCGCTGCAGCATCACCTTTCCATTCAATAATAGGCTCACCTGGAAAACTAAAACGAACAATCTTTGTCCAGCAATCTACATTGGCATAACAAGAAGCCAGCCAATCCATACCCATAATGATATCAAAATCAACCATTTCTAGCTCATGCAAATCAACTAACGTATGGCGGTCATGAATCTTCATGTCACAAGTCACAACTTCGATATACCCGTCTAACTACAACAGACTGACCCATTGGTGTAGATACCTCAAATGACTTATGCAACAATTCAGGCTCTCTATCCCATTTACTAGCAACGAAGAGGGAGATATACGACAATGTAGAACCAGGATCTATCAAGGCACACATATCGATAGAAAAGACGGATAATATACCTGTAACCATGTCCGGAGATGACTCTAAATCCTGACGACTCGATAAAGCATATATGTGATTCTACTGACCTCCTAAACCTCTACTGACCTCCTGAACCAGAAGCTCCAACTCTTTCCCTACCCCTGCCAGCTGATGTTTGCATACTCTGCCAAGGAGGACGTACCGAAGAAGAAGAAGAAGCCCATGCAGATGCCGTCGGCTGAGCCATACCCCCTCCGCCTGTCATCGGACAATGTCTCATAATATGACATGGTTGTCCATATGCATAATATGTCTCAGAACCCTGGCGACATGGTCCGAAATGATTTTGGCCACATCGATCACATCTGGGAAACTGAGGCCTCATCTGACTGGACTCGCCTCTAAACTGTGGACCTGGGGTCCGTGAACTCTGACCTGGACCAGAATAAGTGATCCGATCACGTCGCTTTCCCTGAAACTGTGATGGCGCATCGGCTACCGGATGAGATGGACTCCTGGGAAACTGTGGCCTAAATCCACCTCGAAACTCTCCTGTGTTACCTGCGAACCGCGCCCTCTTCTACTGGCCTCTATCATGCTCTCGATTGGCTCGTTGTTGCCTCTTGCGATCCTCTAGACCCTGTGCATATGCTTGAATACGGGCAAATATCCATTCCTTGGTTTAGAGAAGTTGTAGTGCACTCATTTATCAAGTGTGCCCCCAAACCACTAACAAACCGGTGTACCCGATCACTCATATCAGCAACAATCGTAGGAGCATACCTAGCCAAAGAGTTGAAGTGCATGCTATATTCCCGAACGCTCATATTACCCTGTTCTAAGTGTAAGAACCTATCTCGTTGGGCTCTTCGAAGCTCAATTGGCAAATAGTGATGTAAAAATGCCTCAGAGAACTCCTTCCATGTCACTGGTGGCGCATTGGGCCCCCGAGTCTGCTTCCAAGTCTCATACCATGTCACAGCAATATCACGTAGTTTATAAGAAGTAAACTCCACTGACTCAACATCTATGGCATGTATAATTTGTAAGGTCCGTTGCATAAGATCCAGAAAATCCTGTGGGTCAGCATTAGGATCAACCCCTGTAAATACTGGAGGATCCAAGTTGATAAAGTCCCGAAATCTCGCACTCACGGACCTATCAGCAATACCGAGGGTCTGGTGTTGGGCCTGGGAAGCCACTATTCGAGTCAGCAATGTACAGCACTCCGCATCTCTAGGTCCTGATCAGGAACAACTGGGAGAGGGACTGGAGGTATGTTAGCTCCTCTACGCCCTTTCAGGGGTGGTGGGGGTGCTGCCCCGGAAGCCTGAGAATCAGCCTCATTCTGTGGCTCATGTTGATCTACATTAGCAGGTGGCACCTGACTTGTGCCCTCTCCCGCCTCCTCATCCAACCTCTGAATAAATTTCATAGCCACTTGTCGTCTCGTAGTATTAGGCATCACTGAGAAAGTAAATAAAAAGAGAATTAGGAATGAACACTTATGATTAGGCTCTACTGCACGATCTAGATCAAGAAGAAAGTAATAATCCTAAATGCCCAATAGCCTCATGTTTATAAGTGTGGTGCACAACACACCATAAACAAGACTTTACTAGACACGGCTTGCAGACTCCCTAGGACTGACCGGCTCTGATACCAAGTTTGTCACAACCCAATCTTGGGAGGTGTGACCGGCACCCGATGCCCGAAGGCCCGAGCGAACCAACCATGAGATATGATCTGAAATGTAATAACCTGCAGGCAGAAGAGCCCAACACGACATATATATATATATATATATATATATATATATATATATAAAAACTAGGCCAACAAGGCTGCAACAACAGTATAACAGCTATCCAGAAGGCCGATAGGGCCATACAAAAATATATATATGCAATGACCGCTAGTCTGCAAGCCTCTAAGAGTGTAAGACAATCTGAACAGGACGGGACAAGGCCCCCAACAAGCCCAAAACTACACATATACACCTGTAATAGTACCTATGGACTCAAAATCAGCAACTCCGAAGAAGTGGAGTGCGACACCCAACGAAGAAGTGGAGTGCGACACCCAACGGTGATCCCGGGGGTCCTACTGAAGAGGCACGCCGCTCTGTCTATCCGAACCTGTGGGTATGAACACAGTGCATAAAAAGGCATCAGTACGAAATATGTACTGAATATGTAGGGCGACAAGTGTAACATGAAAAATGTAATTAACAAGAGAAGAGATATAGAGACAATCTGAATTCTAAAACTAGCCTAGATAGGAAACTAAAATTCAACATGAATATAAATGTATGCTCGTGGAATCGTCGCTCACTATCGCTACTTATAATATATCACATCATATAATAATAAATCCCTCTGTGGGGCTATAATATCCATAACATACCCGAGCATAATAAAGACTCGGTAGAATCGTACCCGGCCACGTGAAGCTCGGTAAATCCCAACTGATCAGTGGTTACACAATAGGTGTCATACCCGGCCGACTATAGTGCAGCTCGGTAATGAAAGTAAATACATACATATATAAGTGCAATGCGAAACTAACCTTAAAAGACGTATTCTAAGAAGAGTCAAAGTGGCCTATCATCATTATTCCCCGACTATCATGGTTTTCGCTAAAGTATTTAATTTTCAACTACGAGCCAACAAGTACTAAGAACCTGAGAGTTATATATTATGAGTACCTTTGAAGTAAGTGTTACTTTTCAGCGAACATTATTCATGATTTATATGAACGTCGAGAGGAGAGTAAAAAGGCTCTAGTTCTTTTTAAGCAAGGAACAAGGAAAACCGAGAATTCATAGATATTCTCTGAAGTAAGCAATTTATGAGAAAGGATCAGGTTTAAGCATCTTTATGAGTTGAAGGTGAAATAACTCGAATCCAACAAAACAATTCGATAAACGTTTATTCGAATTCTAGTCATGCCAAAAAGTATAGCGAAAGCCCTACATACCTTGTCGATGGAGTTATATACGGTTTCCAAGCCTTAGGAATGCTTTCCTACATAATACGAACCATTCATTATCAAATTCAAGCTCGTATCTTATATAATTCTTCATTTAGACATTTAAGCGAACAACTTGCGGGCATGAATTTGTAGACTCTTTTGTAGTTTAATTTTCCCGCAACACACCACCAATTTTTTACTTTACTACATCTCCTCATCGACACGATTCCATCCATGTCTTCACAGATCCAAACAACACAATAGAACCATATAGAACAGACCCAACAATCAAGTCATATTAAGAGAGGTTTCTTAAAAAAATCAAGAACATTTCTATAGAGGTTTCAACTATTTCTTAGGAATTCTTATGGTAGAAGTTTACAAAGATCAAAGAGGAAGTTAAATCACACCTTATGTGACCAGAATTACTTTAAATTCGAGATTACTTCAAGGCGAAGTCTTCCTACGAAAAGTGAAACACCGAAGAATTCACGATTCCGAAGTTACCATGGTGTTCTCCATCTTGAGGATGACTAAATTGCTGTTATGATTGGCTAGATGGATGGGAGGAGTTTGAGAGGAATTCCTAGGTTTTAGGTTCTGTTTTGGAGAGGATAAAACGCAGGGGTTCTGTTTTAAATTGACTTAAACGCAGGGGTACAGGGGTGCACACTGCTACGGGAGCAGTGTGCACCCCTGCACGAAAATGTTAATATCTCTCTACTCCGAAGTCGTATTAACTAGGGGTGGGCATCGGTCGATTCGGTTCGGTTATCAGTCAGTGACGAAAAAATAAAATATCAGTCATATTTTTACTTCGCCACTTTCTGCAAATACAAAGGATCTAAATAAATAACAAATACACGACAAATCTCACTTCAGCTTTCAAACAAACTAAGAAAAATCCAGAGCCAGAATGCTTTTAAACAAACTAAGAGAAATATGAAGATGAAGCAACTAAAAACTTACACGAAGAATCAAGATGAAGCTGAAGAATGCGGCAGAGAAATGCGACTGAAGAGTGAAGAAGATGCGACTGAAGAATCTGATGGATCTGAGAAATAAAGTGAAGATGCGACTGAAGAGTGATAGAAAGAAGCTGAGAAATGCGACTGACGCCGGCCTGAGTCTTGACAGGCTGACTGGTGAGGGTGTGAGGCGGAGAAACTGAGAAAGAATGGGAAAATCAAAGAGTTAATCCTTATTGGGTTATCGGTTTTACCCAATAACAGAATTGCCAAACCGAGCCCGAACCGATAACCCAATAAAAAAACAAATTTAACCCGTTACCGAACCGTTAACCCAACACCGATAACCCAATAAATAATTAACGGTTCGGGTTATCGGTTTTACCCGATATATGCCCACCCCTAGTATTAACGAACGGTTTGTTGCGTTGGAAACCAAACTCATAGACCTTCGATTCGGTGGGTAGAACACACTATAACTCCTAGTATATTGAGAGAAAAGCTCATCAACATTCTATCCAAATTTCAGTGAAATTTAAAACCCGTAACTTGCAGCGATCTTTGTCGACTTTTTAATCACAACTCGAATGACTTCCAATCTTAACGTATAACTATCGCATCATTTAAATATCTCATAGAAATTATCTTTCTATAGAATTAGCCCCTTTACGGCATGATAACGCCGAATACACAAGGTGTAACAAATATATCTGAATACAAACGCCTAAATGCAAAACAAAGTTCAATATAAGTACCGTTTCTCCTTTATGCAGCGCAAACCATTATTCAATGATGTTCCCCTCTTTGCTGCTCTCATGGTAGCAGACTAGCAGCCACCAATTTAATTTAGGACGTACAGTTTCTATTCTTTTGCATTAAAGTACCAGAGTCCCACATTGCCAACTAGAATTCTTGTTCCAGCAATGGGTTTTTCTTTTTAAGGATTGCGAGTACTTATTACAACACAACAGTTTCTAAAGCATGATTCAGAAGAAAAACCCCAGGAACGAAAAGGAAGTAAGTAACCTAATGACAAGGTACTAGCATTATCACAAATCCATATTCAACTTCTGTCATTGGCATCTATACTTGATCCTGCATCCGCCAGTGCTTCAGCCATCATCTTTTCTCTATTCTGCATTTGTCTTTCCACAGCAACCATATAGAAGCCTAAACAAGCAAGATTTCAATAAAGAACAGCATCAATTATACAAACAGAAGAGCTAAGAATAATTTAACAACTCAGAAATGATCAGTCACAGTGAACATATAGATTTATCAAAATCTTAGTGTATCGTTATTATTCATAATTTTTCATTAGGCAAAGACAGTCATTGTGTATAATGAGACTAGACTATTAGAGGGATGGTAAAAAAGGAAGTAGATTATTTCAGAGTCCATACCCCATAATGTCCCATGGCACCCCTCGAGACCTATGCAGAACTAAAAGAATCTGAATATTGGCATGTAAATAAAATCTAGAGAATAAAATTAAAAATGAAAGATATGATCAAACTTTAATGGATTAAGTGAGAAAAATTTGATCCATTCGGCCAGCAGGGTTTTGGTTCAGCTTTTATCTTTACTTTTTAGTTAACCAATTCTAATTAGCACAAATAAAATTGAGAATTAGTTATTCCAATTATTAGAAAATTTTAAAACAAATTACAACATAGAGCATTGAAGAACAATTTTTCAGTTACCTAGACAAAACTTCTCTATGTTTTGACTGGTTGACATTCTTTTACTCGACAGGATGTTTCTATAAGCTCTTTTCCCAATAGAGCAAAACCCTTTCGAATTTTAACAGATACCATCAGTTGATGAACATCACATGCAACAGTTTTTGGACGAATAAGATAAGCACTTAGCAGTCAAGTAGGTACTTTCTAGCTTAATAAAGAGCTTTCGTTGTGGATCATCAATTAATATGTGGAGATTTCTTACATATGACATTATTAAGTTTTGACAGACTAGATAATTTGTTAATCTGCCAGATTATTACAGGCTTAAAATAACAAATCCCTTGACTAAGAAAAACTCAAAGAAGATTGATAGCCATACCAATTGCACTCCCAATTGCACAGACCCATAAAAGCCTTCCTGACCATTTGTCACCAACGATTCCTCTATTCCCAAAGCCCATCAGCTAAAACTGGAGCAAGGGAAACACGTATTAGAATGTGAATTTCTCGTCATGAACTACAGTAGAAAGGGAGGAAGGAAAACAAATTTAAACAGTAAGAAAATAGAGAAACCATGTATAACAGGGAATTCCAAAGACAGAAATATGAAAGAGATATTTCTCGTAGTACAGCAGGTATATAGAACAATAAGAAAGCAATTAAAGTTGATTCCATGATCCATCTAGGCTGAGCATTAAGGCTGGTATCAATTAAATGACCCACTAAGCAGTTTCTGGAGAATATATAAACAATTGTTCACGAATATGCCTTTTGTTATCGCATCTGGATGTTTTGTCCTGTATCAAATTTCATAATTTTATGACTAAAAATACCTCAAACGTTAGAGAAACCCTAATATATCTTAAAAGACAAATTATTATTGGAATCAAAAAGAGACCAAACAAAGCTATATTGATGATTCACATGGCCGACCCCAACAAGTTTGGAATTGTGACGTTGTAGTATTAGTTGTTGCTGCTGTTAATCAAATTATTAGAATTCTAGCTGTCATAGTGCTTTCAAAAATTACACCAGGAATCCTTTCTATTTTAGTTTTTTCTTTCACTGGTACAGAGTCATTTGACCAATACAATGATCGCACAGCAAAGCTAAAAGAAATTTAAAACCATCTTATTCGATCAGTAAAAGAGAAAACTAAAAATTTAATTATCATTTTACCAAATGATCAAAGTTCATAATTTTTGCTTCATAGTAAGGTCCAGCTTAGCAATCAGATCAATGATTAAAACCAAGATACCCAGCCGTAGAAGTCCAAGAAGATCATGTAAAACTAGCACAATTTTGAAGGAAAGAAGACACTGTAGGGACTATAGATCGGAATCGTTCTGGAAACTGCCACCACTCCCTAACACCAAAAATGTCTCTAAATTGGATGAATGAGAGAGCATTATATAGCTTCTATGCAGCAAATCAAAACTGATCCATTGGATGTTTGGATCGCTCTTCATATTGCCTAACTAGCTCCAATAGCAAAAAGTGTAAGTTCACTTAGATACGAAAGAAAAAGTAGGACCAGTGAAATAAAACAATTGAAAAAAGAAAAAGAAGACCAAAACCCACAAATACAAAACTATTTTGCAGAAACAATGCTTGAAAAGGAGAAGTAAATGGGAGCAACAAACATAATAATAAATGAAATACAAACACTCAGGTGTGAGAGAGAGCGAGACTGTCAAATTATTGTTCAAGGGATCAAACGGGTCAGCAAACTCAATGCCAGTGCCAGGTTATAAAGAATGACTACTATTTTCAAGATAGCTATAATTATTGCAAGAGCTTTCAAAAGGTTAATAGATACTTAACATGAAGAACTATAGGGAACAACTAGGTCAGTGAACTCCAAAGCTAGAAGCAAATAATAAAGGATGAGTACTACTAATCGAAATACGTGGAAATCAGTTCACGTCATTTTCTCCTAAATAAAAAAAAAACAGTTATTAAGGGGATGAAAAATTATGAAAAAGGAAACATCTCGAGTCAGGGCTTAGATAATATAAGCTGGACCAGAGTTAAGGCACTCTAGCTTGGCACCTGGAACCAACTTGGAGTAGTCTAATATGCATCGGCAGTTATTGATTGGAGAAGTTCATTAGGGTAACATTTGGACAATGGAATCTGGATATACAAAGAGGATTACAACTCACGAATCTCAAATTTAAGGGTATGAAATTCTTGGCAATTGAAATCCCTTATTTGGATAATGAAAATGATTTCATCATTCGAAACCTATTAATTGAAAGGAATGGAACATATTGGAAATTTTAATTAAATCGAAGAAGCAGTTTCTAAATTTTTCTTTCCTAGGTAAAATGGCATTACTATTTCGTGATATGAGAAATGGAGAACATAATAGAGAAATTTGTTTCGAGATAAATGAAAAGGAAAAGAAAGAAGACGGCACAGCTAGATGAACCCAGAAAAAGAGAAGCAGCCAACTCTAAAACAACTGATTTCTTTTTATTTTTTTTTTGATAGGTAACTTTGAAACAACTGAAATAGTAAAAGCGCAAACATGATAGGTCCTTGAGATGATTAAAATAAGACTAAAACCAATAGCAAAGCTACAAAAAAAAGGGGGGGGAAAGAGCTTGAAGTCACCTCGTAGCCCTAGAACATCCAATTTTCCATCTCCTTACTTCTGAGGTCTAGGCACTAAAGTTCAAGTTCAAGGCATCTGCAAAATTCCATCACTAGTTCTTTGCCTACTGAATTAAGGTAGTCGATCAAACTAAACAATCCACGATTGGACAAGGGTGGGCATTCGGTACTTCGGTTCGGTATTTAAGAATTTCTGTTCAGTATTTCGGTATTCGATTTATCAATTGTGTATACCAAATACCGTACCAAAGTATTTCGGTACGGTTCGGTATTTCTTATTTTGGTTCGGTACGGTTTCGGTTTAATACATATTCATGTGTCACGTACTGCTAAGTGCTAAGAGCCTAAGCATTAAGCAAGCAGAAACAGCCACTAACAAGTAAACAAGACCATTCTGCCTAACAATCTGCCATTCTGCCTAACAAAAGGCGTGTAAGAAACATTCAAATTTGCCTAACAACATACAGCAGCACATACATGGCAGATGCACACCTGATTATCACATTCACAACAAGTACTTGAAAGGGAAAAGAAGTAAATAAATATCACAGCAAGCTAAGATAGTAACAACCACTAACGAGTAGTAACAACCACTAAATACCGTACCAAAGTATTTCGGTACGGTTCGGTATTTCTTATTTTGGTTCGGTACGGTTTCGGTTTAATACATATTCATGTGTCACGTACTGCTAAGTGCTAAGAGCCTAAGCATTAAGCAAGCAGAAACAACCACTAACAAGTAAACAAGACCATTCTGCCTAACAATCTGCCATTCTGCCTAACAAAAGGCGTGTAAGAAACATTCAAATTTGCCTAACAACATACAGCAGCACATACATGGCAGATGCACACCTGATTATCACATTCACAACAAGTACTTGAAAGGGAAAAGAAGTAAATAAATATCACAGCAAGCTAAGATAGTAACAACCACTAACGAGTAGTAACAACCACTAACCAAGTACATCTGGAATACTACTAAGACTTGATGCATTAATCTGCATCTTCTTAGGTTCATATTCACCTATTACTTTCTCAAATAGCTAGAACACCAGCCTATTCTGTTATGCTATCTAATAAGCAACTTTTGTCAATTTATAGGTTGACGTGAAACATCAGGCTATTCATTCATATATCTGAAACTACTGTCACAAAATAATAGCCTTAGGCATCCTTTGCATCATATAGATTCATCCCTAGATACAAGAATCCTAAGCGCAATCATAGTTCTAGTATGCCCTACCTTAACCTACTTATTATCAACTTCGTTTTTCATGATTTTACACATTCAATTATTTGGGCAAGTTTTATACACGGTTCCCTATTTCAAGTATCGAAGTGGTCAAAGGAAGATCAGAAGCACATAATTTCTTGTTATGACCGAATATGAACAGGGGCACTTTATCTCACAAAACAAAGAAGCCTATTAACAAGTGCAACAATGATAATACTCACAGAACCATCATTAATATAATTTCATGCACTAACTCTTTTATTTTCAATCAGTTAATTCTTGAGATATCTATAGCTTATGGAGAAGTTATGAACCTGAATGAAGGTCAACAATAAGCAAACAAGCAATCGCCGAGGAGAGGAGTCGCCGTCGCCGAGGTTGTAGTCGTGAATCCGACCACCGCAGCAAGTCGTGAGGGTTTTCTGAAATTCTTGTCTGCCTCTAAGAGACAAACTTTGTTTGGATCATTGTTTCCCATAGTTTTATAATGTATTTTATTGTATTGTATTGTACTGTATTATATCGTTTTGATGGATTTAATGTTTGGATAGAATGTATGGTTTGTTGTTATTAAATAACATTTTTATTGTTTGGTTTGACTGTATTGTACTGTACTATACTGCTAAATTTACTAAAATATCCTCAATTATTTTAAATACGATGCTTATTAAGAATTACTCATAAAAATAATTTATTCATTTGACCTCCGCATCTTCCTCACAGGGAATCGTTATTCTACTATAATAGCGAAAGCCCCAAATCGATTTCATACAAACAAACAAAAAATTTACAGCCCTATCAAAACAGTATAGACAACGGACCTTGAGTTCCTGACCTTTAATGTAGCAAATAATCCATAACTTAACTAAGCAGAAGAAATTGAATAGATATTAGAAAAACAAAATTTCAACCAAATGTCACTACATAAATTATTTCAAATTTTTAGAAAAGAGATGAAAACTAACCTGTAAAAACTTTGTTGGAAAGAGACGAAGACTAGGGAAGTACGTCGTTGACTGCTTGCACGGCAGAAAGAAGATGAAGACAAAGTACTTATTAGTTTGGTGAATATAATATAAATAATAGGGTAAAGGGTAAAATTGAAATATAGAATAATAAGTGAGGGCATAATTGAAAAGGAAAATACGGAACAATCCCACTACACCGATTTGGTTGTTTCATAAAATGGGGTTTTTCATTATTCCGGAACAATGAATTTAACAATTCGATACAATCAATTTTATATTAACATTCAAAACAAACATTGTATCTAGGGTAACAATACAATCGGAAATAACCATCCAAACAATACGTAAGCCTAAGGGCTAACACTATGAGCCCGTTTGAACATACAATTTTTTTCTTTTTTTTTTTTTCCAATTTTTCTTCTTTTTTTTTTTTTTGAAAACAATGTTTGGTTATCAAAATCAGCCCAATTTTTCCAATTTCACTTGAAAATGTATTTTTAAATTTGAAAAACTGGTTCTTACCAGTTTTTTAATTAAAAATGAGAATTTACTAGTTTATAATTTTACAAATTTATCCTATACTTTTAAAATTTATAAAATGACCCCATCAATTATTAACATACCATGTTTGATAACAGTGTTAATAGCAGTGGGAAGCGGACTATGTTAGAAAATGTGACATTGATTTTGCATCTTCTGTGTATTGCAGTAAAGCAGAATATGATAACAGTTAAACAATAGCATGTTTGACTGTTTATTTCAAGTAGGATAATCAAATTGGGGTGGTTTTGATATTTTTTACAAGTTATGGGGTATAAATCATATTTCATGATTTTGAAAAAAAGACATCCAAATATTTTGCAAAAATTATAACCAAACGCATCTTCATCTTCAATTCAAATTTTAGTGAAATTCCAAATTTAAATTTTTATTTGGAATTCATGTCCAAACGCCTACTATGTTTGGATCATTGTTCCATTCGTTTTATAATATATTGTATTGTATTATATTATATTGTATCGTATTATACCGTACCGTTTAATGAATATAATATTTGAATTGATTGTATTATTTGTTATTGTTAAATAATATTTTGTTGTATGGTTTGATTGTATCGTACTGTACTGTAACTGATAAGTTTACTAAAATACCCTCAATTGTTTAAATATTAAATCTATTAAAAACTATGAATAAAAATAATTTTAAAATTACAACAGAAGAAGGCAAAACACCTTAAGAAAGCAGAACAAAGGAGCGAGACAGAAGAAGGCAAAACAAAGGAGCACAGCTAATTAAAATTGAGTTAAAAGCAAATTAGGAGAAAAAATAAAACAGAAGGCGTCAAAACACGTTTAAATTGGTCTGGGAAAAAAAGTTAGGTTATAGGTTGGAGATTTGGAGTTAAAATAAAAAAAAATAAGGGGTAAAATAAAATTGTGGAGTAATAAGTTAGAGCATAATTGGAAAGAAAAATAGGAAACAATCCCACCACGCCAAATCGGTTGTTTCAAAAATTGGACTTTTCATCGTTCCGGAATAATGGATTTAACAATACAATACAACCAATTTTAATGAAACAATCAAAATAAACATTGTTTTGGGATAACAATACAATACGATACAATTAGGAACAACCATCCAAACAAGCTGTAAGGGATTAGTGAATTAGGGGTTTTGGCTTTTGGGGTGTGGGCTTAAGGTTATCGGGCTAAAAAATAAAAATAAAGTTGGGCTTGGACTAAACTATTTCGATACTTCGGTAATCAAAAACCCAATACCGTATATCGTACCGAAATACTGTTATTTTTGGACCGAAATAAATCGAAATGCCGAAAAAATAAAACCGAAATACCAAATTAATTCGGGAATTAGGTTTTTCAGATTTTATGCCCATCCCTTGGACTATCACTCGGTGCGAAAGCAGGATAATCTAAAATTATGACAATTACTATTTGGGAAGTCATATCACCTTTCCTTTGACTCAATTTTTTTCATACATTTTAAATTAATTCTAATCCTAAAATATTGTGGTTTATATAAAAAAAATATTTTCTTATTAAGCTTTTGAATATGTAAATTTTATATTCCAACAATTAAGGATATCCAATTCAAGATTATATATGGATTAACCCTCATTCTTCTTCTAAAAATGTTGGAGCTGAAGTTAGTAGTTAGAATGGGCCGGCCTAATTGTAACCATCAAAGTATCCTATGTACATATTAGACAACTTACAGTATACTAGGGAACGAATTCATTTTTGGAAATAACATTTTACATTTCTCCCAAAGTATATCTCTCTCTATAGATAGTTCCGCTTAGGGTTTGTCTCAATCCTCATTGGTTTTGATTCTCTCTGATTTCATCTACTAACAAAAAAAAAAACTAAACTTTTCATTTTCGAAACAGAGGGAATAAAAAAAATGCTCAAATTCAGTTTCCAAATCAATACTATACATAGCGATTGAAACGACTTCAGGAAATAACTCGTAAATTCAGTAAGTGAACTAATCAAATGGATCAAAAATCCTCGTATAACAAATTGCTCTAAAATTTATGACATTCTCTATCAAGTCAGACACTATAAAGATAAGAAAAAGAGATAAAACATAAAGGACGAAGAATATACCTTCTCATACGGTAAGAAATTGCTTAGCCGCAAACTAAAGATAAGTGCGGTGCGAATTCTGAGTCGCTCGCCGGAAAGTCCTCCAGTCGAGTTTACTGGATCCGGAACTTTAACACGCCCAAGATTTTGTGGATGAGTTCTGTTAGTACTTAAATTTATTTTTTTGTATTAATAGGTTAAGTTCCATAACTATGATTAATACAATTTGAATTAATTAATAGTTGAGGTTGCCAAATATAACTTTTTTGAGGGCATTATTTATATTTTATTTCTGTTGTAAAAGGTTTTGCACTTATTCCCTATTTTTTGCTTTCATAATCCAAAGATAGAAAATTTACACTACCGTTTTATACAAACTTTAGGCCCATCAAAGGATCCGGACCAATTGTATTATGTACATATTAGACAACTTACAATGTTATAGGGAACGAATTCATTTTTGGAAAGAACATTTT